GCTCAATGGAGAGAATAGCAGCTGCAGGTCCGGTGCTGTAAAACCTGTGAAAGCAAGAAAAGAGTGGTCTGCACTGTGGCATCCCTCTGTTTTGAGAAGAAGAGGTTTTAAGTGCTTTATTCTTCCAAATCCATGAGTAGCTGATAAACACATAGCCAGCATCCTGCTTTTTCTTCGGCTGCATCCTTTGTTAGGGATCCCTGTGCCAGTGCTGTTAGGAGTTTCATGAGCTACAGTCCTTCAGGATCTCTTTGTTGAAACCTGTATTTTATAGTCGCATTTTGATGAGTTACAATTTGGGCTCTTAACAATTTATTTTCTCCTAAATATTTGTGAATGCAGGGCTACTGTATTTACACCAGCAGAGACTTTATCTATGTGCAGAGAACAGCGATAGAGCTGGGGGAGCTACAGAGGCTTCCTCGTTAGGGTCCTGTTGCTTTATCATGAAGTTAAAGGGCTGCCCGAGAGGGTAATGCAGCAGTTCATTTTCCAGTTCCAAACCAGTTGCCAATTAATACCACTTCCCTTGGGTTTTCTTTTTGTTCTCGGTACGTGCCAGTTGGATCACTACATTCACCCCCACCTGCCAAACAGCTTCTGATAGCAGCGAGCACCACTGGTGCTGATGGGATTTGGAGAGACAGCAGATGGGTCTTTGGTCAGCCTGTACCCCACATAGCTGCTTTTTTCCTCCCATGCTTCTGAAGGCTGAGACATGTTAATTCCCTGCCTTAAATGTTCTTTCCTTGCTACGTGTTGTAAAACATGCCATATATAATGAGTAGTTTTTAAAGTTCATCTAAGATAACTCTAAATCCTTCCTGACTTCCTTCCTTCCTTTCTCGGTTTCACCTCTACTGATTGAGGCATCCAAATCTCTGCAGTTCTTACTTTTGCTATACAAGTAATAAATAAACTAAAACTTATCTAGGCAGTGAGAGGTACGCATGTAACATGAAAGATCTGATATTCAGCAGATGTGTCAGGCCCTTACGGTGACCTAGTTACTATCTTCGTGATTTTTTTTGTCCTCAAAATGCATGGAAGCTTGCAAAGTTTAGGTTTGCTTCTTGGAAATGTGAGCTTTGTAGGCAATTTAGATGGTGTAATTGCTCTTGTCTCTGATGTAAAAAGATTCCCTAATTATATTGACACTTTTTTTGAGAGAGAGAGTTTTGAGTGAATATATGCTGTTTACAAAAATGCAGATTTGAATCCAGCAGTTAGTTACTGGTGCCATGTTTAATTCTGTCTTGCTGTACCCAGTTGGGAATGACATTAGCCTCCAAACATTCCCTGCTAAATGAATCTATCAGTTTAACGTGTTCAAAGGCCAAAACAACCTTATTACAATAATTATGTTTTGGACTGCCAACTATTAACAGTCTGTTCCAGGTGGGATTATCTAATTTTCTCACAGATAACTGATTCTTTAGGAAAGAAAAACAGCCATTTTCCTTTTATTTTTTTTTTTTTAATTTTTACTACTTTATGTGACTCCTATTCGTTTGTTAAAACCAAAAACTCCGAAGATATTTATTGTTGCTTCCAAGAAGCTAGTTTCTATAAAAGGGTGTTGTCTGTTATAGTGCCAAGCCCTGTTTATGCCCCAGAAATTAAGCTGCTGATGTCAGTATGTAGAAATGACAGTGCGATTGAGCAAAAAGTTCAGATTCAATTGTCTTTTGAATTGGAGACATTTGGATCTAGATTTGAGTTTTAGAACTTTTTGTTTCCTTTATATTCTCCTCACTTTCTGTGTGAGGATACAGACACCTCTCTAATCCTATAATTCTCTGTAATTCTGTTAGTTTTGTGCTTTATCTTACTAAGGCCACATCTGGGATTCTGTAGGACAGTTAGGTTCTGACAAACCACGGGTCCTTCCCCATCACTGTTCCCATAATTTTTGTTTGTGTTAAACCATTTCACTTATATGCCCCAAGAATCTAGGGCACAGCGTGGAAAAACCCTCAAGATACGGGTATAATGGCTTATCCTGTACTGATGGATATCTACAAAGCAGCAAGAGAACTGCATACATGAGTATCGAGGTCCATGCTGCTGTAAACAATACAGAAATAGGTCATACAGTCCTCCAGCAACATTCTTACAGAGTATTTAAGTTGACTTTAACAAACAGAGATCTTTAGTGGCAAGGCATTACAAACAATGGAAAGAAACTGATACAGAAAGGTCCTGGTTTGCTAACCTTTCCTTTTTTTTTTCCTCCTCCTTTCTCTTGCTGTTTCTGTGTCTTGATGATCTTTATACACATGCTCACAGAATGTTAGTAGGTGTCAAAATTTCTTACCTGCTGTTTTCTTTGTAGTGGGGACGTCTCCCATCACCCCATACATAGTAAGTTCAATTGTCAATGTGTGTCTTTTGGAAAAAAATGTTTTCCAGAATGATTCTACTAATTTAACTTGTTAGCAGTAAAGAGTATTTGAGTTAACTTTTTAAGAAATCTGCAAACTGGAAGCATTTCTCTGTTGGAAAAAAAGTGAAATGTATCTAGCGTAATGACTTTTCTAAGCATTTTTGCATATTACAGTGCTGGTAGACATTGACGTTAGCTGTTTGCGAGCTTGTACACTAGAGCGCACTGTGTTTCACGCTGAATCTCCAGAACGAACGTCTGAACACAGCTTGAACATCTGCACTAGCTTGAGGAGACAACAGGTCAGGCATAGACTGCTTTGTAGATTCATTCAAACGTTTTGGTTTGGTACAAAAGACCATCATATTCTCCCCCAACTTGCCTTGCTTTCCTGATTTCACACTAGGTACATCTAAAGAAAGCATCCGAGGTGTATGTGCTAGGAACAGATCTTCCTAAGACAAATCAAAGCCACTGAGAAGAGTTGTTGAAATTGTGACAGAATTTTCTTTATCTTGCATTGGGAAGAAAGGTAGTAATTGCATACCAGGCTTGAGGGGAGTTCTGATATAAATTAGAAAAACCTTAATAAACTCTTTGTTTAGTAAATTTGTGGTATTTATATGATATCTGTACATGGCTCACTATTTCCTAGTTTTACTAACACTGAATATCTGATTGTGAAAAATATTCAGTGGTGGAAAAGGTATTATCAGTGCCAAATTTTTACTTTATCTTTCCTTCTCCCAGCATCGTTTGTCTGCATTCATATCTCAGTAAATAAGATGCCTTTCCTTAGGTTAATGATTATCTTTGTCAGTCATTCAAAATGTAGCATAAAAGTTTAGCTTTGCAATTTCATATATGTCAGCAACTAATAACATGGATCTCATGACATACACAGCATTTCATTCTGTAAATTGGTATATAACATTAAAATGAAGTTCCTAGAATCATTTATACGAAGACTTGTTAAATAAAATGGCCTTTTATCTGCGCTAGTAACTCCTTACTAATGCTTTTTCATTTGTCTTTGTACTCGTCGGTACTGTTTATCTTCCACACTTTTGGCGTGGTGTTTACTACTATAGCGATGTAGTCATGTTATTTTTATTTATTTTTGTTTATGAATGCAATTTGTTGGCTTTCATAGTATCAGCCCTTCTTCTGCCCTAATTAGTATCTTTCAGTGTAATTCTTTTCCTTATAGGTTCGTATGATGAAAGACGGCGATCCATCCTGGAAGCCCACTTTTATTGTAAAACCTGATGGAGGGTGCCAGGGGGATGGAATCTACCTCATTAAAGACCCAAGTGACATCAGACTGACAGGAAGCATCCAGAGCCGGCCAGCTGTGGTCCAGGAATATATTTGCAAACCACTGCTTGTCGACAAACTGAAATTTGATATTCGTCTTTATGTCTTACTGAAATCTTTAGAACCCTTAGAGATTTATATAGCCAAAGATGGACTTTCTAGATTTTGTACGGAGCCCTATCAAGAACCCACTCTGAAAAATTTGCACCAGGTTTTTATGCACTTAACCAACTATTCACTAAATATCCATAGCGGGAATTTCATCCATTCTGACAATGTAAACACTGGCAGCAAGAGGACTTTTTCAAGCATTCTGTGCAGACTGTCTTCCAAAGGAGCTGATGTCAAAAAGCTGTGGTCAGATATAATTTCACTGGTGATTAAAACAATTATTGCACTGACACCAGAACTGAAAGTTTACTATCAGTCTGACATACCAGCAGGAAAACCTGGGCCAACTTGCTTCCAGGTAGGTTGGAATTTCTGCCAGGAATGCAGTTGTTTCTATGCATGGATTAATTTCCTGGGTGTTTAATTCCTTGTCTAAAAGCTTGCTCTCGTTATGATCACTGGTTGGATGTAGTGCATTGACTGAATAGTGCAACCCAGGCAATACATTGCATCAGCTCAGAGCTTAGGTTCTCCTCACCCCAGTTTTACCTTACAAATCTGTCTCCTGACCTATGTTACTACTTGCTATAAACATATATGGAGCATTTTCAATGGGTATCAGTCATTAGCAGCAGTATTCACTCCAGTTTCCATCTTTCAGGTGTTACAACTGTGAAGCTTTGCAGCTTCCTGGTGCAGCTATGATGATGGCAATTTTAAGACCCGCTTGTCATAGGTGCTAAGATTGATTCCATGGTGACAGATGCAGTATTTGGAGATGGGGGTAGTGTGAAAGTAGCTATTAGTATCAAATGATTTCAGTAATTTTTCAGCAATATAGCATGTTTCTCAGTTATTTCTCTTTTGTCCCTCAAATGTTTCTTTCTTCTGGATGTTGGCACATGGATGACCATTGCATTCTCTAGAAGAACACTGTGAGTAGAACTGAAGTAACACATTGCTTGTTATGCACAGATTTTAGGATTTGACATTCTCCTGATGAAAAACTTGAAGCCCATGTTACTAGAAGTAAATGCGAACCCCAGCATGAGAATAGAACATGAGCAAGAGGTAAGACCTCTCAATATGATACTGATATTGGAATGAAATTGTTTAGGTTTGGTTTTCTGGTCTTTTTTTCCTCGTTTGAAAGATGAAAGCTGTCTGCTGATATGAAACCTCCAAGGTTCTCTGTAATTTTCTGCTTTGAAATCATTGCTAATCTTATACACTGGAAATATGACTTATTGGAATTGTGAAAGCTCTCCATCATCTTTGTCATAAATACATTTATTCATCATCCCCTGCAGTTGACTTAATTGTGTTTAGGGGATTGCTAATAATTTTCTTCATGTTTTTATACATAACATAAATGGTAACATTGGCAACAATTTTTTTTTAAATATTTCAACCTACTAGAGATACTTGCAAAAATTGTTGTAATATCATACTGAAAACATTAAGGTATTTGTGTATTCGTTAAGAATTATTTTGTAATCTGTCATTGTGTATTTAAAACATACATGACATGCATGAAGTTTGAGCAAATGTGGAATAAATAAACCTTAGTTCTATACTGAATAATCATATCCCTTTGTAATTTAAAGCTTTCTCCTGGAGTATTTGAAAATGTCCCGAGCCCTGTTGATGAAGAAGTGAAAGTAGCGGTTATCAGAGATACTCTTCGTCTAGTGGACCCTCAGAAAAAAAAGAGAAAAGATACTCAGTAAGCATATTGACTTTATTTGGGTTTTGCCTCAGTGTCTTGCAATGATTAGAAAAGTGAAATATTTTTTCCCAGTTATGTTACTTTATCCAGGACAATGAGTTTCCAAGTGTCTGTGTGACTCCTTTTGCATCCACAGGGGTAACTCTTTCAAAAAAGCTTGTAGGATATTAATTGGTGGCCTGGTACAAAAAGAGTACTTGGATTTGTGGATCTTCCAGGGGAAGGTCAGGGAAAAAACCCAATTCTTTACACTCTCTGTTTAGTAGCAGCAGGTCCACCAAATGGTATTCTCACAGCTTAGCACTGACCACTTCACATACTGATTTCTTATAGGAACGGTGGAAGTGTGGAAGGAGCCATACAAGTGCTCTAGCTCAAGGAATTGAAAAGGTCCACAAACCGATAGTAGATCAGGCTTTATCAGTTCCCGTGGAATATCTTACCTTTGATTAGGAACCGGTGCAAACAATTTAGTGACTCAGGTTTATTTATTTGTACTTTTACTTGAGGCCTCTTTTTTTTTATTATTCAAAACAGTTATGAGATGTAAACTTGTGTATTTATTAATTTGCTTGTGTATTGGGTCTGGCTGAGATGGAGTTAATTTTCCGCACAGCAGCCCTTGGTGCTGTGCTGTGTATCGGTAGCTAGCGGGGTGTTGATAACACCCCGGTGTTTTGGCTACCGCTGAGCAGCGCTGGCACAGCACCAAGCTGTCTCTCCAACATCCCCCTCACCAGTATGCTGGGGGCGGGCAAGATCTTGGGAGGGGACACGGCCAGGACAGCTGACCCAGACTGACTAGAGGGATATTCCATACCATATGGCGTCTGCTCAGCAATAAGAAGCTGAGAAAAGGAGGAGGAAGTTGGGGCATTCATTATTTATGATGTTTGTCTTCTGGAGCAAGTGCTATGCATACTGAAGCCCTGCTTCCCGGGAAGTGTCTGGACATCGCCCGCCGATGGGAAGTAGAGAATAAATCTTTTGATTTTCCTTTGCTTCCATGCATGACCTTTGCTTTTGCTTTATTAAACTGCCTTTATCTTGACCCATGAGGGTTCTTTTCCATCTTATTTTCTCCCTCTGCCGTGCTGAGGAGGGGAGTGATGGTGATAGAGCAGCTTAGTGAGCACCTGGTGTCCAGCCAAGGTCAACCCACCACAGCTTGTAAGTCACAAATTACTCTGACTGAATTGCCCCACTGGAGCTGAAAAATTCCAATATTGTATTTAGAAATTGCTTCCTTGATCTCTGATAATAAACATAGTTAAATCTATGATTTAGGAATGAGTGGAACTGCCTGAAGCAGCTTGCACAGAAATGCTTGTAGTAGGATCAGGCTCAGAGAAATAATATCTTCTTTTTTGATGAAACACCTTGTCTCAAGCAGCCCCTTGGAGACATGAAAGGGAGATTTTTTTTTTTTTTTTTTGTCCTTAGAAATTCTTGCTTATAGACCTGCCTCCACATTCGAATATTGATTTTGTTCTTCTCTTGGCACTTAGTGGTAAGTTTAAATGTTATTCATGTTCTATAATGATTTCAAGGGCAAATTTGCTGTCCTTCTGTAGACAGAGTGCCATGAACAAGACATGATTGATAATACTTACAAGTTCTGTATTTTTGTAGTATTAAAAAATCAAACTATTCTTTCACAGGCAGTGGCACACATAGAGGTTGCTGTGGTCAGTGTACAGACTGTCTTGCAAAGCTGTGTGTAACCTGTACTTAACCTTCACTCTTAAGATTACTTCAGTGCACAGAGCTGAAAAAAGATCATTTTTTAACCTGTAATTATGTAACTGGTCACGCCTTTTATTTTTTATGCTGAAGTTATGTCAGGCTTTCATTAACTACGTATTAGATATGGAAAAAAAGGCAAATGATAATTACAAATGAATTCCTGGAGAACGCCAGTGTGTGTGTCCTCGTTCAACTGAGGATTCTTCTCTGATACATTTTGAGTCCTGAATAATTTGTAACAGGATTAGTCGGTGATGAGATAAACCATTGGCTCTTCACGGCAAGCATTCACGAGTGATGCAGCTTTTTTCACAATAATCTGGTTAACAGAGCATCTTGATGAATATCTGCATGTCTTCACCATAAATCAGTCCAGTTTCTTACCGCAAAGGGTACTATTCCAGTAACTTTTTTGCATGGATATACAGGAACTCATTTGAGAGAACTGCCCACCCATTCAGCTGAGATTTACCCCTTCTACTTTCAAGTACTTTTTATTGAACTGGAGATGGTAAATGGAACTTCTTGAGAGAGACATGATCTCACCGTCAGCTTCAAGTAAAGGACTTGGTTCTAATCACCTATGGAGATTTACACCAAAGTAAAAGCACTTGAGAGAGGAACTGAGCACCAGTTGCTTTTGCCTCATCTTCACTAGCAAAGGTTTTGCAATGCTTTCACTTTGTGTCCTTCCCCTCACTCGTTTCAACCAGCTCTAATGTGCAAGCCCATGTTCCCTCCCACTCCTACCAGTAACTGCAGAGAAATGGCATTATTCCTCTACTTGCAGGACAAAGGCAGTAACTAAATAATTGACTGGAGCTAGAAAGCAGTAGATTACCTATCCATTGTAATATTTTTGCTGGTCTAATTGTGCCCAGCAGCAGTGAAAGCAAAATTTGACCTATTAATAGAGAAAAAACATATCTGAAAGAATTCCTGTTCTGACAGCTAACCAGCAGCAAACATTGCAGACTCTAGTTTTGATGCTAATTAGGTAATGGACATTAATTTAAGTAAAGTTTTAATGATACATATCTGAGTTTGAACACACAGGGGAAATACTGAGAAGTCTGAGCTGCATCTCAGGTAAATACTCTGCTGTGGAGATGGATTTGATTTCCTTCTAATTATCTCCCAGATTAAAATAAATGAAGCCTCTAAATGTAAGTGAGTTTTAGAAGTCATCCTGAAGTACTTCATTATTAGGAAAGATTAATAGCTCAAATTTTTTTTAGTTTAATTTTTCCTCATCTTTATGGAGGTTTGATTATTTTTTTCTCCCTCCTTTCATGTGACATGTAACATTGAAATACAAGTTAAGTCAAATAAGAGCAGTTTATCATGCCATACATGTCTCTTAATTTTTCCAACACAATTCCAGTCTTTACATGCACAAATCGCTAGTAATTATCGTGGCACTGCCAATAATTAGACATTGAGAATCTGCAGTGGTACAAGTTCAAACAAATGTACTTAAATATACTTAGTGGCTGTTGTTCCACAGTATGACTGATCTTTTTCTTAATTTTAACTTTGTCCTGGCCATTTAAGTACTATGGTATGTGCTTGATATTTTGTGCGTATAACATGTTTAAACGGAAACTTTAAATGCATGTGAAGTTTTTTTTATTACTGTTGAGGAAAATTTCATTTTCCAACAGAAGACGAAATCTCTTCTGTTGTAGAGCTGAGGGAAGGCTTTGTGCTATTCTGTGGTGCAAAGAACATAAGGAATTAAAATAGAATAAAAAGTGACATGGGCACATGTGAGGCTTTTGGGAGGAATGAGCAGGGTGGGTACCGCACAGCACCTGCTTCTTCTGACGTTGTGCAGGACACATCCCGTGTACCTCATACTCGTACGACCTATCCTGCCCGGCAGGCTCCTGAAGGCAGCAGGTATCCCCGTAAAGGTTAACGTCCCGCTTTGCTGCATTCATTTCCTTGCTGCTTCTGAATCCTCTGTGTTAGCACAACTGTAGCCAAAGTCCGACGGCAGCAGAGTTTCCAGGTAACTATTAATGGAGAGGTTTGGAGCCACGTCCTGCTCTGCAGGGTGAAGATGTATGTCAGCGGCGTGGAGCCTCTCAAGAGGAGAATCTGCGAGTGGCTCTGCAGGTTACTTTGTTAGACTGTGTTCAAGCCGTTCTGTGACCCAGAGCGTGAGTGGTGTCTGGCTCTGCCTGACCACCTAGAGCCTGGGTAGCCCTTTCTGAAATGAAAGATGACAGTTAATCATGTTGTGTGGTTTGGTTTACATTTTTTCGTTCTTTAAAAAAAAAAAATCCAGCTAAAAATGCATGGTTAGAAAAAGAGGGTTTCTGAGTTATTTATTTTTCCCTAATGGAATTTTGCAGGAGCCAAAATGTAGAGCATTTTTGCCCTTGCTTTGGTTCCTAAACTAGTCCTATTTTCCTTTGGCATCCTTAAGTTGGAACTGAAGTTTCACTCATAATTAAGAAATTAAAACATTTAATAAAATAATATGGAAAATACTAACTCTTTTGTTTGTGCGGCAGTACTGTTCTCATGGATTTTAAGACTTGAGTAGATCATCACAGTCATCCAGGCTGATGACATGTTGGAACACACACGGTCATTTGTGGCTGAGCTGTTTTCTTGGAAAGATGGAATTTTAAACTGCTCTGTAAATCTGTTAAATATTATCAAACAAGGCTTACTTTCTTCTAGCATTACTAGGGAGTGAATTCAGGGGGTAGTAACGGCCAGTAATCTTGACTTCTATTCTGAACATCTGTCACTGCTAATTTCAGAATTATCGTGGTGTTTTTTCCAGCTTACATTTTTTCAGCAATGGTAGCTCTTTTGACTGGAATTTATGATCTAGTGAAGACCTTCAGTACCAGATTAGCCAGCTGGGCATTGTATCATCAGGAGGGAGCTTTCCTCGAGTAAAAAAAGATTGGGAAATGTAGGGGTTTTTTTACTTAACGTATTCAAAGCATGGTGTAGAGCAGGGTGGCACATGTCCCTTTATAGGGCTGGGAAGCGATCCCAGGATGCGGTTTTGTCCAAGGCTGTAATAGGCAACGTGGTCAGAAAGCTCAGCTACGCCCAACTTCGAGTGACATCCTCGTCACGTAGTGGTATAAGGTAAGGGGTTGGACTGTGCTCCCTAATGTCTCTACGAAGAGGCTTGTATAAAGCTTGTATAGTATTAAATTTGCTCTGGGTTTACTTCTTGCAGCTCAGGTGCTGTTCACAGTCTGCTGAAGGTGGGAGAAGAC